CGGGTCCGTGCCGGGTCCGGGCCGGGTCGGCGGGCCGGTTGACCCGTGGCCATGTCTAGTTTAAGTGCATTAACGAATTACTAACTACCAATGGAACTTTGTGTGAGCATACAATGAATTACTAACTACCAATGAAAACTCTTGTTGAATGATTTGTGTTTTTCACCGAGTCATTTTAGGTTGTTTTCCACGAAAGTTTCAAAAATAATATGATAATGGGACTAAAGGGATTTAATGTAAAAATATAACCTATGAGAAAGAAAAATTGTGTAACACTATTAGAGATAAATTGTTGAATAATTGTTTTGCAACTCAAACTTCTAATCTACTTTATTTAAATAAGATTATAATAATTTTATAAAATTTCCTAATACTAAAAGTCATTCCAATTGTTTTCCTATCGAATACTGATTGAGCAACTTGATTTAGTTTTGATCATAAGATTGTCTATAAATTAATTAATATATCTAGAGAATCATGATATGTCTATATACGCTGAAGTTAATTAATTTTTACCAACAAATCATATCAAACAACACCATTAATCATCTATTATTAACAACTATAAGTAAACAAAATTAAAATTGATAATGTTTGTCCTTATAATGCCCATAAAGTATAGAAACATTTTTTGTTTTCCAAAATAACCTATATAAAAAAAACAATTGTGTAGTAGTATGAGAACATTTGAATTCTTATTTTGCAGCTTGAACTTCTAATATACTCAATTTCTTTCTTAAAATATGATTAGAATAATTTTATGAAATTGTATAATATTAAAACCTATACTATTTATTTTCATGTCGAATGGGATACCACTTGAGAAACATTCAATTTAGATCATATGATTATCTATAAATTAAATAAAAATATCTGGAGAGTCATGATATGCCTATATCCTTGAAAATTAATAAAATTTTAGCAATAAATTATATCGATATATTATATATAATATTGTGTGCAGTTAACTATTCTGAAAATTATCGATAATGATACAAAATATAACAAATTCAATGTAATTAGAATTTACTCTATGATAATTAATATTTTTATTTTTTTGAAAAAACTAAGATACAACTAGGTTGAAAAAGTCCGTTATAATTTTATTAGTATTAGAATA